TGTTCCCAACCAATTTGCAGCTGCTACAGTAGAGTGACGAATTTTCCCAACCCCAAAGGTCCCAACTCCATATAGAGTTGGGACCAACACACCACACACAAATGCTTGCACACATTCAAACCACACATGCAAGTTGAAAACATGGGATAGGAGGCAGACAGAATGTGATAGCATATGATGATATCACACAACAATCTCCCCCTCTGGCTGCCAACCATCATCCATCATACCACATCTCAAGCATGCATACTTAATGCACACTCATCCCAGCAAGCTTCATGCCCTCCCCATGATCCGCCTCCGCCAGACGCTTAGTGAAAATATCTGCTGCCTGCTGATGGGTCTTCACTATCTCCAGCCGCACCTCCTTATCAAGGAGTCTCCTCATCCAGTGCCACTTAGGCCTTATGTGTTTTGTCAGCCCATGCAGACAAGCATTCTTGGCCAGCTTCACTGCAGACTCATTGTCACAGAACACAACTGTCGGCTCCTCCTGACCAACTGCCAACTCTTCCAACAAGCGCCTTAGCCACACCACTTCCTTGGCCCCATGGTGTAAGGCCATGTACTCAGTCTCACATGAGGACAATCCCACTTCATTCTGCTTCTTGCTGCGCCAGCTCACAGCACCACCTCCTAGCAAGCACACATAACCCCCAATGCTGGTTCCATCCACTTTCACCGAGTTAAAGCTAGCATCAATACCTTGAGCTGAGGAAACACTGGACCGTGGACAGGAAGAGAAGGAGGCGGTGAGGGATGCGCGGGCAAGCGGTCGGGGGAGGGAAAGCCGAGCAGGCGAAGGGCGGACATCTGCGACGACTGCGGCTGCTGCTCGACACTGACACCTGGACCACCAGCTGCACCACGGGCACCTCTGGAAGACTCCACTCCAGCACCTCCAGAACAAGCACCCCCAGAGCGAGAACCCTCTCTAGCACCGATGCCACCCCCGAGCCCACCGGGACAAGCCACAACAGGAACCCCAGAACTAGCACCCTCCTCAACACCAGCACCCCCAGAGTCCACGAACGGCTGCGGCTGCTGCGACGTCGGCGGTGGCTGCCGCGGCGGCGACGGCGACGGGGGAGGAGAAGACACCGGGGGAAGGACAAGCGGCGCAAACGATGCCGCGGGGCCACCAGAGTCAGCCGACTCCTCGACCGGGGCAACCGACGGGAGGAGAGTGACGTGAGACACACTAGAGGGAGAAGGACGGGGAGGGAGGGGAGCAGGGGCGACCGGGGGAGTGGGAACCAGAAACAGGGGGGGGGAACGGGGAGACCTCGGTGGGGAAAGCAGTGTTAAAAGGAGACAGACTCGTCGAACGTGGCGTTATGGGAGTGGAAAAGGCGGTGAGACGGAGGGTGGTAAAAGTGTCACTCGGACGAGTTAAGGGGGAAACTGAGGAAGACACAAGGGACAGTGCGGGCAATGAGCTTGTCCGCACCGGAGGCACGAACGTGAGCGAGGCAGCTCCAGACGTGGAATGCAGATGCATCACCAGGGAACCCGGTCCAAAGAAGGGTCGGCGAAACCTGCGGCCGCACGGAGCGCGGCCAGAGGTTAAGCTGGTGAGCGGCGTAGCGAACGGCGAACGGCCACAGAAAATGGGGTGCACCGGCATGGATCATGGAGGTACGAGCCACCTCCATGACCAAACCGATGCGTCGCTCAGCGACCCCATTCTGCTGCGGAGAGTCTGGCAGGGTGTACATCTGGGTGATGCCCTCCGCACGACAGAACTGACCAAGCCGACCAGATGTGAACTAGCCACCACGGTCGGAGTGATGACACAGCACAGGGAGACTGCGGTGGAGGTGCGCAGCTACGACCCACAGGATAAGAACGTCAGGCGTGTCGGCCTTCCGCTCCAGGGGAAACACTGTGGTGTAGCGTGTGAAGTTGTCGATGAGCACGAGAAAGTAGCGCTCACGACGCGGTCCAGGGACGGGGGCTGGGCCCCAGACGTCCAAGTGGAGGGCCTGGAGTGGTGCAGTGGCAGGACAAAGCAAGGAGGAGTGAGGAGCATGGCGCAGCTGGCCCTCGACGCAGGGCGTGCACGATGGCGTAGGCGAGGGAGGGAGGGCAGGGAGCGACGCAGGGAGGCCTAGGACGAGACCGTGCAGAGACATGTGACACAGACGCGTGAGCGAGGGGTGACCTAGGTGGTGGTGCAACAGGAGCGATGGGTGAGTGAGCGACCGACAAAAAGCAAGCCACAGCAACCTGAGTAGACGCAGGACGCGGGGAGGACGCGCCCACCGGGGGGAAAGCAGTGTGCAGCGTAAACAGGCAAAAAACCGGGTCCCAGGGGAATGTCGCAAGGGGGGCACCTGAGGCAGTCTCGGTACAGACCGCGTACCGCTCTTGACCAGGGAACGTAGTGGTGACGCCGAGGTCCTGAAGACAGCCGACACCAACTAAGTTCCTGGAGAACGAAGGGATGTGTAGGCCTGTAAGGGAACCCGAGGGAACCATCGAACAGGGAATGGGGGTAGAACTCCAAGCAACTACAGGACTAGAGGAGGGGTCAGCAAGGGAGACAGCAGCAGGCGCGGCAAGCGGCGTGAGGGTGTCGTGGTCGTGGAAGAAGCAGGCTGAGGCACCGGAGTCAAGAGTGAAGGACAGTGAAGCCACATTGGCCGACGAAGGAGGAGCAAGTGTAGAACCTAGGCTAGACAAAGCAAGCAGTCCTACGCCTGACACATCAGGGGAGGCTAGACTACACACAGGTGCTACGCCTAAGCTAGAGAACACAGGGTAATAAGATCCAGAAACACTCGAAGCGTCAGCATACAGAGAATGCAAAGCAAAACTAATCTGATCCACATCTTGGTCAAACACAGGCACACCGTGGCGCAACAGACTGGGCCAGTCAGGGAGCTCCGGAGCGGGACCAAAGCGGCGGCGGAAGAGGTCGTCGAGGCGGCGGAAGCAACCAGTGGTCGGGTGCGGGCGCCGACACAGCGTGCCACGGAGGGGCCCGGTCTGTAGCTGGTACTGGCAGCTCACAGAGCTTAAATTGCCAGTGGGCAGCGAGCAGCGAGGGCCACCACCACGACCACTACCTCCAGGGGCTCCTGGCCACCCCTGCGAGAGACGAGCCCACGGCTGCTGCTGCTGCTGCGGCTGCAACGAATGCTGCTGTTGCAGCTATGGCTGCGGCTGCTACTGCGGCGTCTGCGACGACTGCTGCTGCGGTGTCTGCGCCGACTGCTGCTGCTCCTGGACACCAGCTCCAACCCCCTCGTCAGAACCACTGTCCCCGCCACTACTACCACCACTAGCGCCACCACCACGTCCTCCCTTGGTGCCACGGCAGCCCCGGCGCTGGCGCTGCTGCGGGTTGTTGTGTGATGTCATCATATGCTATCATACTCTGTCTGCCTCCCATCCCATGTTTTCAACTTGCATGTGTGGTTTGAATGTGTGCAAGCATTTGTGTGTGGTCTGTTATGGAGTTTGGGAATATGTTATGTGTGTGTTTTTTTTTAGTATGTATTTATAATGATAGATCTTTAGAAGATCTTTGCGTCGCAACAACAATCGCTTCAATCGGAGCAAGAACGTGAAAGCTATGAAGATTCAAAGTTCATGAGCTTGCGTTACAATTGCGGCGGTTACAAAGTAAAGTTGTGGGGTGACTCTATATGGATTTGGAACCTTTGGGGGTTGGGAAAATTCGTCACTCTACTGTAGCAGCTGCAAATTGGTTGGACACAACCAAACTAGGTTGGCAAGGGTGGCCAACTTGGATGGATTGGTTGGGAAGGGACAAAGGTCAAAGTTGAGGTTTCTATAGGGAGGAAACTTTGTGCTTATGGGGTTTTCTTGGTTGGAGACTCTCTTGGGACCTTCCCTCTCATTCCTCTCTTCCCTTCCAACCTTTCTCTTGCTCCTCTAATTCCTTGTGAGATTCTTGAACCTTGATTGAAGTTTGAGATTAAGTTAAGCTCTTCTCCTACAGCATACCCCTCCATGCGTCGAAAGACATAGCGTCGCGAATACTCCATCAATCAACGTGATTCAAATTGTGAATGGTATTTGAGATTAATAGCTACAATATATCCAAGTTTCGTGACATTCCAGCAGCTAGGTTTTTGTCCACAACGTTTCTTGTGGAGACGTATTTTCTGTCCATAATTTCGGATTTATATTTTGAGTAATTCTAGCTCCCAAGTTCACCTAGACTCCATCCTTAATTCTAACAAGTGGTATCAGAGCGATATTGAGGACATTGAGAGGAGTCTACAGACGTGTGAAGACCTTTCTAGACCCGCCATGGCCTGTGGGTGTGCCTAAGTGGTGTTCTAAAGGCTGGATGTGACTTCTGCTAAGAGGAAACTCTGCCGAAATTTCGTGGACGCCGACACTTGTGAAAATATTGAGGGAGCTAAACGTGGACAGCAAAGGGGAGCTAAAATTCATCATTTCTCAAGGAGGAGGTGAGTGAGAGAGGAGGAGATGCTAATGGAAGAGGAGCTGTACCTGAGAAGACAAGTGAGCCGCCACCATCGAAAGTTGAAGCTTTGGATGGCTCCAACTATGAGGAATGGAGCGGGCGGATGAGGAGTGCCTTCAAACGCTACAAGCTACTGAATATTGCTGTTGGGGAGGAGAAGATCCCAGAGGAAGGTGAAGCACGCGAACGATGGATTGAGAAAACCGTAGTGCTTTTCGACCTCATCCTTCAATCGGTCAACAAAGAAATGTTCGAGCACATCAAGGATCTCGTGGAAGCGGAGGATTCGGGTCCAAGGGCGTAGAAACTACTACGCGATGTGATTCAGCCCAACACTCTCCCGATGGTGATCGTGCTCGAGAAGGAACTTGCTGCCATCTCCATGCGACCAGGGGACGATGTGAAGCCGGTCCTTGACAAGATCAAGGACACCTATGCAAGGATGGTAGCAGCAGGCAGTAGTGTATCTCAGCTACAGCAGTGCACCAAAATAATCTCGGTGTTGGACAACTCTTGGGACAACCTCATCCCCACCCTCAACTCTCAGCAAGATCAATCGACACCTGAGTGGCTAAGGCAGCAGATTTTGCAGGAGGACTTCCGCAAACGCCATGTGGGAGGCGGTGCTGTCACTAAGACTGCTGAGGGGTATGGAGCTGCAGGGCGCGGCAGAGGAAGAGGGGGTTGGAGAGGCCGAGGCCGTGGGAGGAGCTTTGGCACAGGTAGAGGCCGAGGTGACTATAATGAGGGGCGTGGGAGCTCTGGTGGCAGAGGGAGTACCAGAATGGAGGGCACCTTCTGGTACTGCAAGAAGGTCGGGCATCCTTGGTTCAAGTGCTTCAGCAGGCCGGAGGGATGGGTACCTCCAAGCATGAAGCCGCCAAGTGGTGAACGCGCACAAGGTGGCGCTGTGCAAGACTCATGTGGTGTGGATGCAAGCGCGGCATGGGCTAAGGCTTCATCAAGGAGTGGTGAGGCCGATTGGGAGACATGGTACGAGAGGCTGTGTCAGGTGAACGTCCTTATGCTGCAGAAGTTGGTGAATTATGGGAGCCTGAAGGGCTTGGAGGTCAAAGGGGGAGTGAAGGAGATTGGGAGCTGCCCTACATGCTTGGAGACCAAGTTCTCTAAGTTCCCCTTCAACAGCACTACACGACCAACCAAGACCCCACTTGCACTTGTGCACATGGATGTGGTGGGGCCCACAAGAGCCCCTTCCCTAACAGGCAGCCACTATTTCTTGACAATTGTGGATGACCGCACTCGAGCAGTATGGGTTTACCCTTTGAAGAGCAAGGGGGAGGTGGCAGTGACTGTCCTTAAGGAGTGGATGCCTAGAGCTCAGAGGGAGTGCGGACACAAAGTGAAGGTGATCCGCAGTAACAATGGTGGGGGGTTCATTGGAGCTGATTTTGAGGGGGAGTTGAAGAGGGGGAGTTCTTTCCATCGGTTGCAGACCCTCCGCTCTTCGTTCGTGCTGGCCAGACTCCGTTCTATATCCTTATCTACGTAGACGACCTGGTCTTCGCTACCACAGACAGAGACTTATTGGCCTCCATGAAGGCTGAGCTATTGAGAAGACACACCTGCACTGACCTAGGAGAGTTGCGCCGCTACTTTGGCCTGCAGATCTCCAGGGACAGAGCAGCGCGCACCATCACTCTTACCCAGTCACACTTGGTACGCCAGGTCCTTCGGAGGTTCGGTCTTCAGTTCTCCTCCGCACAGCCCACGCCTCTGCCAGTAGACCACAGGCTGTCAGATCCAGTTCCCGAGGAGTCAGCAGAGCCCAGTGGTCCTTACGCAGAGCTGGTCGGCTGCCTCATGTACCTGATGACTTGCACTCGTCGAGATCTCGCATACCCTCTCAGCATCCTGGCTCGCTTTGTGGCCACAGGCAGACACTGACCACAGCACTGGTCGGCCGCTAAGAAGGTTTTGCGTTACCTTGCAAGTACATCGGGCATGGGGCTAGTGCCAGGAGGATGTAGGCCGGTGGTCCTTACTGGGCACACAGACGTTTCTTGGGCAGACGACGCTGAGACCCTCAGGTCCTCCAAGGGCTACTGCTTTAGCCTTGGCTCAGGTGCCATCTCGTGGAGGTCCACCCGTTCATCGTCTGTCGCCCAGTCTAGCAGTGAGGCTGAGATCTACGCTGGTGCCATGGCGGCACAGGAGCTCCGGTGGCTGACCTTCTTGCTTGCCGACTTAGGTGAGCGGCCTAGGTGTGCGCCGGTCCTGTAGGCTGACAACAGGGCCATGATCCTCCTGTGTCAGGAGCCTCGACTTGAGGGCAGAGCGAAGCACATTCAGCTGCGGTACTTCCTCCTGCGCGAGCTACAGCAGCGTCGCCAGGCCCGCGTAGTACACTTGGCCATCGGTGCCAATACAGCTGATATCTTTACTAAGGCGCTTGCGTCTAAAGATCATCAGCAGCACTACTTACAGCTAGGTCTAGTTCCTGTAGACTCTCACTTGCTAGGACCTTGATTGTGTACTCATTTATATTTAGGTCTTTCAGACTGGCCTTGCGGCTACTCTTCCAGTGGTCGGACTAGTAGTGCCGCCTTGGTTTGCTCTTGTCTTATTTGTACCCTTGGTAACTGGTCTTTGGACCCCTGCCTCAGAGGTTGGACTAGTAGTGCCACCCTGAGCTGTATGTTTATGCCTCTGCACTACCCCTTATCTAGCCTAGGGGGTGTGTCAACTTCTACATATGTTGATATGTAGATGTTATAGGCTAGATCGATGTATGTTGTTAGAGGGTACAACTCCAACACTATAACTCTCTTGTTCTCCCTTGTTTCTAGTTATTCATTCTAATTGATGCTAATCTCCTCCAAACCTACTGTCTTTTGTCTTTCTCAATTCTTATCACTCCGTTGTGATCCGGACCTCATTGTATTGTAATACTCATTACATTTTAGACACTCGTTACTAATGCAAATGCTTTGCGACCCAGGACGATGTTGGGCGAAGTCGCAACCTTTGGCCCACATTTGAAAGGGGTGTTCGAATTTCAAAATATGGCACTTCGGGTATGTGGAATTCCAGATGACGGTTAGGGCGTGGCTCATCGGAGTACGAACCCCAAAATTCGTTCAGCTGTCCGAAATTTGGGACTTCGAACATACCAACACCCCGGTGGCACAGGCGTTCGAAAATCACTGCCTATCGCGTCCAGAGCTCTCACGCTAGGCGACACTTTCTTGTCAATGAACGAATTGCTCCGCGAAATTGACGAAAACTGCACCCAGATTGAATTTCGAGTTCCGTGAATATTCGTGTTCCGATGTACCACGCCCGAACTTTCGGGGGAGTGGTTCTTACAGCTGGAATTCATGACACGGTTCGGAGCACATCAGGCCCGATGTCCCGCGCCCTCAATTTCGTGACAAATTGCACGGCAGTGTTGGATTGACTGAGTCCCTCCTAATTTCCCAGGAGGACAGATGAGTCACGTATTCGGAGACGCAACCCCAGCCGTGTCTCGCGGTCTATGCCCCTGCCTCTGCTCGTCCTCCCGTTCTTTTGGGCAATGCCGATTCTCTCCCGCCTTGAGAATATCTCACCAGCTCGTCCAGTAGTATTGCGAACGTAATTACTACTATCAGGAAGAAGCCGCCCCTTATCCTTATCGTCTTTCCGTTAATTCTCTAATACTCTCGTTCTCCAAGCTCGCCCTTTGACTTACGACGCTCTGCTGTTGCGTCGTCTCTCCGTCAATTCTCTGATATTCTCGTTCCCTAAGTCCGCCTCTCACCATTCCACTGAACCACTTCGCTCTTCTGCCTGTGTAGCACCCCGCGCCCGTCCCCACTGGCCAAAGCGGGGGTTAACCAGAACTCGCAACGGCTAGGTTCGCTTTTCCCGTGTAAGGTCCGCCGCAGACGTCGGTAGCGGCGGAAGGGGCGGAAGGGGCGGCATGGGGAAGAAGCGCGTGAAGCGGGAGCTGGCGTTCTACGAGGCCAACGGGAAACGCCTCGAACGTACGTGCTGCGCCTCGCTCCTCCCCATATTATCTTTCGCTCTATGCCACTCCCCCCTACGAGGCCAACGGCCAACGCCTCGAACGTACGTGCTGCGCCTCGCTTCCCCTTTCTACCATTGCCCGACCATCCCCCTTCGTTATACGCTTCGCTGTTGGGCTGACTCAGCGCGCCGCTCCCCTTGCCTTCTCCTGACCCTCGCGGCTTAGCCCACTCGGCGCGCCGCTGCCCCCCGACCTTCGCTGCTCTCCCCAGCGGGCCAGTGCGTCATGCTGCCCCCGCCCCAGCCCTGACGTTCGCGCAGTGCATCACTCTGCATTCGCCCAGATGATCAAGACAAGGCGACTAACTCCCCAACCCCCCTCCCCAGCCCCTTCCAGCGGGCCTCTGCGTCATGCTGCGTCCGCCCAGCCCCAAGACCCCGCCCTACATCGCGCGGATCGAGAGAATCGAATGCGATGCTGCGAATCGGGTCAAGATGTGGTGCCGCTGGTACTACCGTCCAGAGGAGTCCATGGAGGGGCGGCGGCAGTTCCATGGAGTTAAGGAGCTCTTTTTGTCCGATCACTATGATGGCTGCTACCCGGAGGCGGTGGAAAGCTTGTGTTCAGTGCACAGCCTTAAGGAATACGCTTACTTAAGTGCGGTGGAGGAGGAAGATTTCTTTTGCCGGTTCGAGTACAATGCGTCGACAGGGGTGTTCGCGCCAGAGAGAGTCGCAGTGTGAGTGGCGAGGCTTGTACGCCATGCACGACAAATGATTGTGCTTTGGCGAATTCTCTTATGCGGATAAACCGTAGAGAGCATGTGTGTTTGCAGTGAATCGTTTCTCACTAGGAGCCTGCAGTTTGAAGTCTGCGTTTCAGAGGCAATGGAGGAGTGAGCGTCTGGGTTCACTGTGACCCAAGTGTTTGTGCCACTGCAGGTACTGCAAGTGTGAAATGCCTTACAACCCCGACAACCTCATGGTTCAGTGTGAAGACTGCAAAGACTGGTGAGAATTGATGGGAATCACTGTAGTTTCTCCTGCTTATCCTGCCAATGCCCTTCTCCCCCTTTCGCCTCTTCTCTGCCCCACCAGCCATTTCCAGGCTCATGATTACCTCCTCTCAAACCTTTGGAAGGACGATCCTTCCCCTCCCCACCTCTCCTCTCCCTCTCCCTTGCACTCACACACGTGTACACTCGTTCCGTAGTGTTTGTGGTGCCCTTCCCATTTAATTTCTCAAAATATGCAATCTGTTGTCAGCTTCTTGTCGTTTCCATGTTTGTCTACGAATTTATCTACACTTATTTCATGGGTTTTCTTCGTTCAGGTTCCATCCAGAATGTGTGAATCTGCCTATCCATGGGGTGGAGTCCATGAGCGAATTTATTTGCCCCGATTGTAGCTAAACGTCAATAGATATATTGATGTAGTACATATAGGAGGAGGTTGTATAGTGTTGCTGTTTTCCTAGCGTAACATAGGCTCTGTGGACGACGTGATATTCCACCCTGTACTGTACGTGTATAGCGAACGCTTTGTTAGCGCAATTGTCAATCGCCACGTCACACATGCCTCCCCCTCGGCATTCCCAAGGAAAAGCTGATCGATTGGAGATAGGAGCTGGAGGCAAACGGAAAAAGGTTGAGGGGAAAATCAGTCCAGCCAAACGGAACAGCAAGTACCTGCCTGAAACTGGACGCTAGGACGGTCACAGCCAGCAGCTAGCCATCATTGTCGCCAGCAAATACTCGTCTCTTAGATTCTACAGGCAAGGCGGCATGGCTGCGGTGTCCCAGCTCTCGCTGATCGCCTCTCCTTGCGCTAAATGCGCTGTGGCCGTCCGATGCGATGATGCCGCCAGGTCGACTGTGTCGATCGCGTCCTCGTTCACCCCGTCGCGATTCGCTGGCGCCACGTCATCTTCGTCGTATGGCGGGAATACGAAACTAAGCGTGGCGATGCGCGCTGTTAAATCGCAAGCAGTCGTCACGTGCTCGCTACCTCACGCGTATGTCCTCCTCAACTCCTTTCCTTCCCTTCCCTTCCCCTTCTCTTCGACACTCGCTCGCTGCGCGCTTCGCCGTACTCTTGAGTCACGCCATACGTGAGCTATCACAGTGGCCGCCAGTTAGTCCTCCGCAAACCCTAACCTCTACTTCCATTCGTCACGAGCTCAATAACATGGCTAAAACCCCATCCATCTATTGATTTGTTTTCGAACCTACTTAACTCGTAGACTCGGCTAGAGGCGCCGTTCAGCTCCACCTTTGTGCGAAGTTTCCGTCCTTCGTTCCCAATAGCGGCTGCACGCCTCGGATTCGTCCATGTGTCCCCCACGGGCCGTGTATTTTGCGTCGTTTGTAATGCCAATCCCCGATCTTCGCATGATTTGCGGTTTGGAGGCGCCTAAAAATTAGCGAACTGATGCTAGAAACGCGTGGGTAGAAGCTTTTTCATGTCCATCTCTCTATCCTCCTTTCACCGCCAGGTCCTTCATCCGCGGAGCACCTATCTACCCTTCTCCTCCTCCGTCCCCCCCTCCCCTTCCCTCGTTCATTTCCACGCCCTGTGTGTCTTGAGTGTCTCTCCTCCAACCCGTTCCCTCATCATCACATTGTCACGCGACCCTCCTCTCGTCCCTCGTCATCCACCTCTCCTCCTAACTGACCCATCTCTGCCCTCCTCTGCCCTCCTCTGCCGCCCTCCTCTGCCCTCCTCTGCCCTCCTCGGCCCTCCTCTGCCCTCCTCTGCCCTCCTTTGCCGCCCTCCTCCTCCCCTGTCTGACCTCCCATTGTCGTGCTTGCAGGAAGTAAGTTCCACATGCCATGCGGCACCATCAATATCCATGGCACCAACACGCGCTCCTGCCCTGCTGATTCCACGCCATGGCATGGCATGGCATGGCATTCTCGCCGTTGCATTCCTGTACTGGCATTCTTGGCCGTCATGGCCGCTCATGGCATGTGTTGCATGACATGGGATGGGATGGCATCGGGATGGCATTTGCATGTCATGGAGTGGCATGTGATAGCGGGTGTTGCTTCACATGATATGGCATGCCATGGCATTTAATGGGTGGTGAGGGTGTGAATACGATGTCTATCGAAAAAATCCTCACCGTCCATCTTTCATCCAACTCCGAACCACAACAACGCCTCCCACAGCATGGCGCATGTTTCTGCGCACTGCTCTCGTGTACTATCCTTTCCCCTCTCTTCACACCCTTTGTATATTTTCCTCTCCTCCCTCATTGTTTCTTTCCCTCTCGTCCATCCTTGCCTCTCCTTCGTCTTCTCTATTGTCTCCCCCCCCTCTGCCTTAAGTGTCTATCCCCCTCTCTTCTGTCATCGTCTCTTCCCCCCTCGTCTCTCGTCGTTCCTCCCTCTCTCTTCCCGTGTTGTCTATCGTCCGCAATTCCTGTTCTCTCTCTCCCTTTCCATCAACCCATTTACAGTGGGGTGGTTTCCCTTTTCTAGCATTTCATCCCTACTCTCCCTCAAGTGCCTTAGAGTCGACTCAAAAGCCCAAGTGCCCGTTCCCATGCATGCCCGTTTGCCCCTGGTCAGCCCGCGCCATAAAGACGTTCGGATGGTGGGGATGGAGTCACGCAATATCAAGTCGCTTGAGTTATCTTTTGAGTCGTCTCAAATGTCAAGTCGCTAGAGTTAATTACAGGAGCCACCTCTCTGATTCCCCCGTTCACTCTCTCTGCAGCCCTCCATTCGCCCTCAAGCTTAGTCTTTCGAAGTCACCTCTAGCAGCGACCCACCTGCTGCGCCCCTCTCCGTTTCCCTCGTCTCTCTGCGTCTTGCTGCATATATTGCTCCCTTCTGGTCAGCTCGCGCCATCAAGACGTTTGGCATGGCGGAGCTGGAGGCACGCAAGCTCAAATCCCTTGGAGTCAACTCAGCTCCCGCCCCACCTTCTCGCCGCACTGCCCTGGTTGCCGCATTCTCTCCCTGCCAGCTGGTCAGCGCGCGCCATCAAGACGTTCGGCATGGGGAAGCTGGAGGCACGCACGCTCAAGTCTTTTGGAGTCGACTCAGCACCCATCCCCCCATCTGATAGCCTCCATTTGTTTTGTGTCCCTTTCCCCTCCCTGGCAGATGGTCAGCGCGCGCCATCAAGACGTTTGGCATGGCGGAGCTGGAGGCACGCAAGCTCAAGTACCCCACCACGGGGACAGAGGCGCTGCTCATGGGCATGCTCACTGAAGGTACTGTTCATGTGCACTGTTCATCCTCATGGGTAGATACTGCTCTGCTCAGCTACTGGTAAGAGCACTACGTCATAATGGACAAGCCCATTGAAGCAATCTCATGCACCCCACCACCGGCACAGAGGCGCTGCTCATGGGCATGCTCCCCCCTCCCCACCCTGCACCCCCCCCCAGCTCCCCCATTTCCCCCCCCCTCCGTCTCTACTCCTACCCCACATTGACACATACGCACACATCAGGCATCAACTACGGCGCTCGTTTCCTGCACGCCAATGGCATCAAGCTGATGGATCTCCGGCAGAAGACTCTGGAGCAGCTGGGGAAGGGAGAGAAAGGAGTGTGTTTCAGCGCTGAGCACACTTTTCGTGCTCCCCCTTTAAGCCCCTCCTCCCCCTCCATCTGCTGCTATCATCAGGCACCAACACGGCGCTCGTTTCATGCACGCCAACGGCATCAAACTGATGGACCTGCGAGTCAAAACCGTAGAGCTCCTTGGCAATGCGGACGTGCTGATGGATGTACGGGGAAAAACTGTACAGCTCCTTGGCAAGGTAGACATGTTCTACTTCAGTGCGAAACACCTGCCGTTCTCCCTTCCCCATCCCCAATACTCTCTCCCTCCACCTGTTGTTACAACTAGGCACCAACTTCGGCGCTCGTTTCACGCGTGCCAACGGCATCAAGCTGATGGACCTGCGAGTCAAAATTGTGGAGCTGCTGGGCAAGGCGGACATGCACTACTTAAGCGCCGAACACACTCTCTCTCCCCCTTCCCCTCGCCCTCGCATGCCCACACACGCACCTGCACACACCAGGCACCAACTATGGAGCCCGCTTTATGCGTGCCAACGGCATCAAGCTGATGGATCTGCGGGTGAAGACGGTGGAGCTGCTGGGCAAGGCGGACATGTACTACTTCAGTGCGGAGCACCCGCCGCTCACGGAGCCTGCTCTTGCCGCGCTGCAGTGGGCCATCGCCAAGCACAAGGAGCTCGGTGGGTGGGCTGGCTATGCCTCATGGTTTTGTCCTATGCTGCTACTGTGTGCCTTGCAACGTGGCTAGCAGAGGGAGTCAGCACTCATCCCTTGCAATTCTCCTTATGTAAACGCCCGTGCCTGTCTCCTGTCTCCTGTGCTTGCATGCAGGTCGGTCGGGTGAGATCTCCACAGCGCTCATTCTGCTGGGCATCTGGGAGCAGAGGGAGTCGGCGGGGCACAAGCTGCTGTCCCAGCTGGGATTCAACGATGCTCTCGCCTCACAACTCACTTCTGATGTCAGTAGCCCCGCTCTCACTCCCTCCCTCCCTCCCTCCTCTCCCTCTCTCGCTCCCTCTTCTTCTCCCTCCGTCCCTCCTCCCCTCCCCCCCGCTTGTCCCTCTTCCCCTCCTCCCTGTGTCCCTCCTCCCCTCCCTCCATTCTCTGCTCCTCCCATCCCTCCATTCATCTCCCTTCTTCAATCCCTCCATTCCTCCCTCCTTCCCTCCCCCTCCCTCCCTCCATTTCTCTCTCCCTCTCTTTTCCCCTCTCCCCCCTTTCCATATCATCACGGATTGCATCTGTGTGTGTGTCCATGCGTTTCCATTCACTCAGAAACGTGTTCATTGGATAGCCCTCTTGTGGCTTATGTTCTTTCCTTCTCTGTGGCATTCGTATGTTTCAGCTTGCTGCTGTCCCTGCTTAAACGTGATCTGCAACTACATGCAGCTGCAGCCATAGTAGAACTCGTAGTTTGATGATATGTCGGTATGTAAGCCATCGTCAATTACAAACCTTGTATCAAGTTGTAGAGAGGAAATTGCTTTACTTTCTATCAAATGTTCTTTAGCGAACATGTGTCTCGTCGACCCCTTTTCACTGCATCACAGAGCGAGTGGTCAAATTTGTCTGCTTGCAAGGTTGCCCAGCGACCTGCGGAAAATTGGTGCACTGTTTGTTGTGCAACTGCCTGCTGCCACAGATTTTCCCACTTCGCGGCTCGCCGTCACACTCGATTACCAGTGGGTCGACCGAAAACCATCGGCCTGGTCCCGTCGATTTTCTCGAACAGATCTGCTCTCGCAATGGAGGAATATAGCGGTCGTTCAGTTATCAGGCTACCATTCGCAACCACTTCGCAGACTCTCATGCTCTTCTCTTTGTCTCTTTCCCGTCGAACTCAGCACTCACCCACTTTGACATCCACCCACTCACTCCTGATCGGATCACGATTCATGGCGCAGATTCCAGTCTGTCAGTTACTGTACCCAACGCCCTCATAAAGACCACCCTAATTTTCAGGCAGGAGATTGGTGCGCTCCACATATTCCCCACCCGTGCTTAGTTTTCTAAAATTTGCAGTTGCGCATTCGCACCAACGCGCGAGAAACATTTCGTATACTCGCCACCAGGTGCGGAAGCAGCCGTGAAGCACTAGGGCTGTCGCGTCACGCGTTACGACTCACACAGTCGAAGCCGCCCATCCCCTCTCGGCCCGTCGTCGCTGTTCGCCGTCGTTCTCCCGCTGCTCATCGCCCTCGTCCCCCTCGCCGTTCCAACCGGACTGCTCGTCTCTCCAGTCGCCCCTCGCGCCTTTTCTCCTTCACGTGCCCCTCTTTTTCGTCCGCATTTTCCCGCGAATCCGCGCCCCCCCGCACCCCGCCCCCCCCGCTTTACTTTCCTCTCCGCGATCATCCCGCCGACACGACCCCCCCTCCTTCCCCCCGTTCGCTTGCGCACGGCCCAGTTGCGGATATTGGGCGCGCACGTTGAGCACGTCCTATCCGCGCGCCCCTCCCGCACTGCCGTTCGCTGCGATCACCCCCCTACTAGGTTCTTGCGATGGCTTAAAGCGCGCATGCCTCTCCCTTCCGCCGTACTTAATCACCTTAACTTATTCCCCGTGAATTGCCGCGGCGTCATGGGCGGCGAGTCAGGGCCTTTAATCCGCACGGTCTCGGGGGTATAGCCGCGATCGCGCTTTCACTCGCCGCCGAAGATTCGACGAAGGTACTGATTCTACCTTGGTATTAGGAAAGGCCGCTTGATACGGGGCCTTGGTATGGGGGACCTTTGAGGCGCCTCAAAGGCCGCTTGATGCGGGTGATTTTTGAGTCGACTAAAAAATAATCAAAGGCTGCTTGGTACAGGGGCCTTGGTGTGGGGGAAGAAGGCATGAGAGCACGATAGCCATGCCAATCGGCCTCTAACCGTGCCTTGTTATGCGACACCATGCCGTAACATTCTACATACTACTACACTCCATGTCATTCCATCATGGCATTAACCAGGCACAAAGAGTGTCATGTCTGCTGCCCGTTGCAGTGTCATGTCTGCCGCCCATTGCAGTGTCACGCCTGCCGCCCATTGCAGTGTCATGTCTAATTATGTGACCAAAACCTTTCTGCCATCCCATCCCATGTCATGAAACTCATCGCCACGTCAGCGCAGGAGCCATGGACGTAGCCACGGCAAACAATCTGCACCAATCACTTGGCGCAGCTGCAGGGGGAGCAGCCCCCGTGCCGGTGCAATACGACTTAGAGGTGGCAGGCGTGCCTACATACGGAGGTGCCTACACGCGCTACGACATCTGTGGGCACATATTTGAGGTGTCCGCTAAATATGTGAAGCCCATACGGCCCATCGGCCGAGGGGCTTATGGCATTGTGTGGTGAGTGGGTTGTGGGATGGGTGAGTGTTTTTAAATCAACCCAAAGGTCCTTCCTGCCGGTGCAATACGACTTAGAGGTGGCGGGCGTGCCGACATACAGCGGCGCCTACACGCGCTACGACATCTGTGGGCACATATTTGAGGTGTCCGCTAAATACGTGAAACCCATACTACCCATTGGGAGAGGGGCTTATGGGATTGTGTGGTGAGTGAGTGGGATGTCTTGCACCTCAGACTTGGCTTGTAGAACGCTTCAAATGCCGATGTCTCTTGCACCATCATCATCCCTTGCTCCGGTGCGTCTGTGCGCCCATCCATGCGCCCATCTGTGCCCTTCCATGCGCCCACTGTGTGTAGTGCAGCAGCATCACCAACCCATTCATCCATACGCCCTGCGTGCATGCATGCAGCTCAGCGTCCCTTGTGGTGGAGATGAAGGAGATGGGTGCAGTGTGGCACCATCATCAGACAGCAGGTCATCATCCATACGCCCTCTGTGCGCACACAAACACACATGCATGCAGCTCAGCAGTGGACATGGAGACGGAGGAGGAGGTGGCGATCAAGAAGATCTCCAACGCCTTTGACAACCGCATCGACGCCAAGCGCACGCTCAGAGAGATCAAGCTGCTGAGGCACTTCGACCACGAGAATGTGAGTGGGTGTTTGAGAATGAAGGACGTTTCGACCATGAGATTGGATGCTTCGAGCGCGAGTTGACGCCAAGCGCATGCTCAGAGAGATCAAGCTGGTGAGGCACTTTGACCACGAGAATGTGAGACACTTTGACGCTTTTGGACCCTTTCAACACGAGAATGCGAGCAGATGCTTTTGCGATGCAACGCAGGCAGGTCTTCACAGCTCTCAGCATTGAGAAATTTTGGAGTGAATTTCCTTTCCCATCCATTCATCCATCCATCCATCCGCCAATTCACCACCCTCACATCCAACAACCCCATCCCCCTTATAGGTTGTTGCACTACGCGATGTAATCCCCCCTCCTGACCGCTCGAGCTTCAACGATGTGTATGTGGTGTACGAGCTGATGGACACGGACCTGCACCAGATCATCCAATCAGGGCAAATGCTGTCGGAGGAGCACTGCCAGGTGTGTGTGTAAGGGGAAGGTACGGGGTAGGGGAGAGAAGGAGAGAGAAGGGGGAGTGTGTGGTGTACGAGCTGATGGACA